GTGGTGGCAGGGGGCCGCGGAGGGGGTGAAGGGGATTCCCTGCCTGGAGGCAGATTGCCAGCATCTGCCTGTCCCTCCTGCCCTGCATCTCCATCCCTGTTCCCTGGGGAAAGGGAGGGGAGCGGGGACTGGGGTCTGGGTCTAGACCCCGTGGATGCGGGGTGGGTGGGCACCCACTGGTCCTGCTGCGCCCATTTTTAAGCACCCCAGCTCCCAGTTTAACCCCGGGCCGTATCCAGTACAAAAGCATGGGAACAGCAGCCCGGCACGGCCCAGGTGAGCATCGCCTGGACCCAACACGTTGCCCTGGGTGGGACCCTGGGGGGATGCTTGTCCCCGTGGGCGCTGGCTTTGGCTCCACGGGGTCTCGGGGGGGTTAAAGGAGGTGACGGCGGAATTGGGTTTAAAGAGGCTCGGCCGAGGCTTGGGGCCAAAAATAGGAGGTGTCTGGTGGGTGGGGGTGTGTGTGTGTTCAGGGCGACTTCAGGGGCTGTGAGCCCTGGGGGGGGGGTCACATTTCCACCCCCAGCCGGCATCAAAGAGCCTTTGCTCTGCTCTTGCGGTTTAGGGGGTTTTACTTTTTTTAATCCCTAAGTAGCCAGCAAGGCATTTAAAAGGTTTAATATAAATTTAAGAGAAGTTGAATCTAAGATGGTAATTGGAGAAAGCCGGGACATAATCTAAATCAGGGCATTTGGAGGCAAAAAACCCCACAGTCTTTGGGACGTGTTCAAGTGCCCGGTTGTTTCCCTTTAATACCGAAATATTTAAAAACTCGTTTTTCCATTCAGGGTGACCATTGCATTCGGTTTATTGTGTTTCCCCCTTTGCAATGCAGGATTATCGGCTTGTTTCACAGAAAGGTTTAACACCCCACTCAGCAGCGGGCTGTGGGTTTGGGTTGTTTTGCTTGGGACTTTGGGGTTTTTTGCTTTAAATCTCCCTTATTCAAATTGTCACAGCTTGACAGCCTTGTGCCAGGAACACGCTGTCATCCTGAAACTCATATCTTTAATTCCTTCCCTCTGATGCTAATAACACCTTAAGATGATTAAGGCCAGAAAAAAACCCCTTAGTATCTTATTTTTCTGCCGTCGGCGATGCTGGTTGCTGGCTCTGGGCGCTTCATTCATCTTGGGGAGCAAAATTAGAGCCGTCACCCTCCTCCTATCGGGGTGTTTCTCCTTGGTTTTAGTTTCTGGCTTTTCATTGCTGAATATGGATGCCGCCAGGCTGCCGTGCTAGCCAAACGCTTTTCTTTTGCAATTTAAGATGCAGCGGCGTGGCGAGCCCTCTCCCGCAGCATCCCTTGGCTGGGGGCCACCCTGCAGCGCTCCCCGCTCACGCCGGTGGCACGTCCCCGGCCCCCGTTTGGGAACAGCCCGGGCAGCGTTCCCACACCGGCCCCCGGCAGTGCCGGCAGTGCCAGGAGACGCAGGCGAGGGCACGGACGCGCCGTCCTGCCCGGGCTGCACAGCCACAGCCCACATTACCAGCCACTGCTGGGCACACAGCAGCGAGCAGCTGGGCTGCAAGGGCACAGATTCCCATCTACATGAGGTTATTTATTTTTTTTAAAGATGTTTTCGGTCTGGGACATGTTCAGAGCGTGTTTTTCCTTCCCCACATCACCGGGCACCACTTACCCTGTGCACGATGGTGCCAGCCCAGCTGCTGCTTCCCTGCCGGGCTGGTCACCGGCTGGTTTTGGCAGCAGCTTTGACACCTTCTTGCTCATCTAGGAAACAAGGTACTGGATAAAAATAAATACTGTGCACTCCAGAACGCCCCGTAAATCCCTGGATGGGGAGCTTTATCTCGGTGTGTGTGAGGGCAGGACCCTGTGGATGCACTGAGCGGGTCGGCTTCTCCCTGAAGCAGAAGACAGCAGCAGATTGGGAAAAGAGCCTCTTTCAGCTAAAATCCTGCGCGGGTGCTGGGTTGGTGGGTCCCGCAGCCTGACGAGCGGCTCGAGGCCGATGGGACATTGGTTTAGGTTTTTAGGTCCTGTTTGGATAGCAAGCGGAGCAAACTGGGGTTTGGTTTGGGTTTTCACGTGCAGCGATGCCGCCGTTTCCCCAGCAGGCAAATAAACGGCCCCTTCCCTCGCTGCCGTCGAGCCGAGCTGGCTGGTGCCACTCTTTTGCAGGTGTCGTAGGACTCGGGGACCCAGGACAGGTCATTTTGGCCCCCCGATGCCAGCGATGTCTCTGTGCCGGTGCAGCGGGGTCCCGGCCATCCTTGCTGCCCTGGGCAACCCAGGGGGTTTAGGGATAGGAATTTTGAGGCTTTGGCAGCATGGTCAGAGGGAGCCCCTTAGCCCTTCCACTGCTCTCGAGCGGAGAGAGAGAAGTAACTCGAGGAAGGTAGGCAGGCAAAGGAGGAGAGCAAAGCTGCTGGTCCCTGATGTGGTGCGGCCTGCGGGCTTGGTGTCCCCCATGTTCCTGGCATCCCCGTGCTCCCAGACTCCACGTGCTCCCCATGCTTCTGGCATCCCCATGCTCCTAGTGTCCCCATGCTCCTGGCAACCCTGTGCTCCCAGTGTCCCTGTGGTCCCCACGCTCCCGGCATCCCCATGCTCCCAGCATCCAGGGCATGCAGACCCCCAGACCCATCAAGTGATGCCTCTTCTCCCCCTTTTTCTCCTCCCCACCCCGCAGGAAGAGCAGCCGAGCCGGAGACGATGACTGCCGAGAGCGCCCAAAACCCAAGGGCCCCAGGGGGGGGCAGGGGGGGGGGGGTGCCAAGCCGCCAGTGCCCCCCGCTCCGCCGCGGCGCCGGGGACGCAGGCTGCGGCACAAGTCACCGCCGGAGGTCCCGGTGAAAGGGCAGCTTCGCATGCGCTCACCATCGGGAGCCTTCGTCATGGTGGGCATCTCGGTGGTCCTGGTGGGCATGACCATCGCCGTAGTGGGCTACTGGCCCCACCGGGGACCTGGGGGCACCGGGGCCGGCACGGGGAACGCCAGCACTGCAGGGGACATGAGGAGGGAGGTGGCTGCCGGGCGCCACGTGCCCCACAGCGAGAAGCTCAAGCTGGTCGGCCCCGTCATCATGGGCATCGGGCTCTTCATCTTCATCTGTGCCAACACCATGCTGTACGAGAACAGGGACATGGAGACCCGCAGGCTGATGCAGAAGGGTCTCTACTCCATGGCGGCGGGTCTCCCCAAGGGGAGCGGCCCCGAGGACAGGCGCTGCCAGCATGGTGATGGCCAGCCTGTCCCCAAGGCCAACGCCGAGTGCGTGGAGGGCTGCTACCAGGTGGATCTCTCATGCCAGCCCTGCCCCGGCCCCGGCAGCAAGTGGTCCAACTGCTATGGCTCCAACAGGCTCCAGACCACGGCCGAGCTCCGCCAGCACCCGGTAGCATCCCCCGCCGCCTCCCTCCTCAGCCTCCGCTCCGGCACCTCGGCCGAGGCCAACCTCAGCCTCTCCTGCCATGCCAGAGCCGAGTCCCTCCTCAACTCGGCCGTTGGTGCCTTGGCGTTGCCCGTCATCAAGCTCAACAACCGCTTGCTGGACGCGGCAGGGGGGGGGGGGGGGGGGAGGGACCGCCGAGCCCCCCGCCGAAGCACCACGGCTCTCCTGGGCTCCGCTCTCCGCCGGTGGCAGCATCGCACCCCGCAGCCAGGACCGTGGTGGTGGTGGCCACGTCATCATCAACGTGGATGGCGGCTGCCCTGGCGCGGAGCTGGTGGCAGCGGAGCTCAGCCTGGATGCGCAGCTCCACACCCCGGGACACTCCAAGTCCCTGGACCTCGGCCGGCCGGGGGTGCTGCTGGTGGCCCCCATCAAGGACCGTAAGAACCGGAGCTGGCCCCGGCTGGACCACGTCAGCCTGGTGGGTTACGCCAAACTGGAAAGCACTGGCGAGTCCTCAGACCGGCTGCTGGAGCCCAGCAAGCCCCAGAGCTGGGGCGAGCCCCGACCCAGCTCCTGGGCGGTGGGGATGGAGCAGGGCACGCGGGTCTGATGTCCCCACAGCCCTCAGGGACCGTGGCGTCGCAGTCCCTCATCCTGGCCCACAGCACCCACCAGCGACCCCAAAACCCCACATCCAGGAGGGGTTCGGGGGCGGCGTTTTTAAGCGGATGCCAAGAGGGAAGTCCCAACCCGCTGCTGGGACTCGCCCGGGGTGGGATGTCCTCTCCTGGCTGCGTCTTGACAGCTTCCCGGTGGATGCCCTTGGCCTTACAAGCCCTTCTCCTGGTGGCTTTTCCAGAGGAGCCCTCACTTTGAGACCCAACACAAACTGCGGGATGGGAACGCAGGGCGGGCGAACCCCCACCCGCCCCTGCAGCACTTTATTTCAGCAGGGCTGGGGTAGGGGGGGGATGTTTTGGGGGGTGGTGTCGCCTTGCCCAGCCTCAACCCACCAGAAAATTTGCTTGACCAGAGCACGTAAGCCCAACGGGGCTATTAAATATTATCTCGATGCCATGCGGTCCCGCCTCGCCTCATCGTCTCGCCTGCGGGATGCTCGGGGTGGGCAGCGCGCCTGCGGCAGCCGGTCCCAAAGGGTCTCCGAGGCCGTGCTGCCCCCACCCAGGCTCAGCTGGAGAGAGTAAGGATGCTCTATAACCAGCTGCTGAATATTTGCAGGATGAGGTGACAAGCTCAAGGTTGGGTTTGTTCTTTTTTTTTTTGCAGAGTAGGGATGTAAAGGTGCCTGGGGAGCTGCAGGCAGCGAGCGAGGTGCTGCCGCCCCCCCCTCCTGCTGTGCAGGCAGCTGCAAAATTAAAACAGAGTCGCTGGGGTGTGGTGGTTCCAAAAGCCCGTCTGGGTCGGGGTTTATTTGTGCTGTTTTCTAGTGGGGTGAAGGATGCGGGTAGTGGGAGGATGCGACGGCGCAGAGAGGCAGGGGTGAGTGTTGGTGCTGGTTTTGCCGGGCCCCCCGTTGGGTGCCGTCGCGTTATTCGGTGCCCTTTGGATGCAGAACAGGAGCTGCACAGGACGAGGCCGGAGAGCCAGCCTTGGCACTGGGGTGGTGCGATCCCCAGAGAGAAGGCAGTGGGGTGAAGGATGCGGGTAGTGGGAGGATGCGACGGCGCAGAGAGGCAGGGGTGAGTGTTGGTGCTGGTTTTGCCGGGCCCCCCGTTGGGTGCCGTCGCGTTATTCGGTGCCCTTTGGATGCAGAACAGGAGCTGCACAGGACGAGGCCGGAGAGCCAGCCTTGGCACTGGGGTGGTGCGATCCCCAGAGAGAAGGCAGCACAGAAACAAAACCCTCCAAAAACCCGTCACGGCAGGAAAACGCTGTAGGAAAATGTGGATAAAATGAGAAATGAGGTAGTGAAACAGGGTTCGCTCTGTTGGAGGAGGCTGCATTGCGGGATGCAGTTCGCATCCCATCTCTGGAGACGGCTCCGGGCTCAGCAGCCCGGGGAAGAAAAGTGTCGGCTGCCCGTTTTCCTGCAAATGAGCAATTTTTGCTCTGGCATTTCTTTCCCGATCCTTTCCCAGGGCCTTTGCCATGTTGGCCCCCGGGGAAGGCATGGGCTGGTCACTGCTTTGGTGCTCAGCCCCCATTCCTGTTGATTCTCCCCGGCACACGGCAGCGGTGTCCCTCCCATGTCCCCGTGGGTGAAGCCCACCCAGGAGGGCTCGTGGGGACAGGGGGTGAGGAGCTGTCAGGTCCCGCCGGCTGTGGCACGGCCACGAGGCAGCAATGGTGGGGCACGGTTAAAATAAATAGGAACTGAAGGAATATCCTTCACCTTTGTGTTTGTAAGGAAGGCAGAGGCTGGAGGGTCCCAGCTGTGCCACCAGCTCGTGTGAACGCTGGAACAACCCCCCCCCGCCTGTCCTCCCTTGAGCCTGGGAGGCACGACACTGGGGTTTGAGCCGGTCCTTCTCCCCCCAAAAAAAACCCTTTTTTTTAACACCGGGTCCATCTCTGGCTCTGGCAGAGACCCAGGAGTCGGGGGGTGGTTGGGCACCCACTGCTGACGGACGCTGAGCCTCGGGCGGCTGCTAAGGGCACCGAGGCGGGAGCATCCCCACAGCCCCTCCGTGGCAGGTACCACCTGGGCAGACGGCTGCATCTTTCCAAACCATCTTTTTGCTCTTTGCCTGTTTCTTTTCCCCCATCTCCGGGGAGATGTCACCTACCAAAAAGCAGAGAAGGATTTTTTTTTGCAGCAGCAGCAGCAGCAGCTTTGCCTTGTTGAAGCATCCGGCACCGGCATCTTGCCAGGCACCCCCTCTTGATCCTGCCCTCCCCATCGATCCAGAAGTAAATGGTGCCCCTCGTGCTCTGATCGCTGCCCTGGTCCTGTTCGCTGGCCAGAAACACCCTGTCCGTCCGCAGCAGCTGTATCTGCCGGTGCCGGGGGGCTCGTCCCAGCCCGTCCCACTCCCCCTGGCTCTTCTCATTTCGGATGCCAAGGGTGTCGAAGGATGGATCAGAGCGGAGGGGCGAGGACGGCTCTGCTCTCCGGCAACTCGGGAGGCTTCAAAATGTGGCGTTGCTGCCTAGATGGGATCTCTGCCTTTTGCCTTCCCAAGACCAGAGCCCGCCATGGTGCATGGGAATGGCTGAAATATGTTTTCTCTGCATTAAATGTTTTGGGGTTTTTTTATTCCTGTCTCTGCTTCTCCCTCTCTCCGGCCTGAAGCGAGCACAGAGCCTCGGACCTTGCAAACCTCAGGGACAACAGCCTTCTCCAGACCAAAACATCCCTGCAGAATGGCTTGGAAAATGCCTTTTCTGGCAAAAACATATTCCCAGCACGAGCGTTCCCAGCAGCTCGGAGACCGACATCCCCCTGGCCCAGGGCTGGGGCTGGGCAGAGGGGAACCATCCCCGGCCAGGGGCTCTTGTCACCCCTTTTTGTCACCCCATGGGGCTGGGGACTGGGGACAGGGCTGCGGGAGCCAGGGAGGGTTGTGCCGGTGATGGTGGTGTCTCTTGCCCGGCTTTCATCGCCTTCCACATGGCCCCGCATTACCAACGGCGCTTGGCACCGGAGCTGGGAGACGGCAGATTAAAGCCTGCAAGAAACAGAACCGCTCCGCGCTCGTTTTAGAAAAGCCAGGGGTTTCCACAACTTTTATTTTTTTCCTCCCTTTGAAAACTCTGCATGTTTTGTTTCCATTTTTATTACTATTTTTTCATTTTAATTTCAATTTTGCCTTTCAAACAGGAGCGATATCTGCTTCGTGCCCTATTGCCTGGAGCAGATCCGGCCCCATCTCCACCTTCCCCCGTGCCCCTCCACCTGCTCCCAGCCTGCCCCATGCAAGACCC